ACCCGGTCGAAACCCTAAATACCCGACCGGGTATTTCGACCGGGTATCGCGATGGCAGCTGATAAAAGGAAAAGAAGGCCAACCTTCAAGGGGTTCCGAGTTTTTGAGAGAAAAAGCGATACCTAGAGAGAGAAAGCGACGAACCAGAGTTCCCAAGCGCCATAGATCGATCTTCATCACCATTGGAGCCCGGCTTGAGCTTGGAGAAGTGCCGATTAACCGTCCCGGAGCAGAAATCCGTCTTCACAGTATGATTTCCGCGTCTGAATCTGCTTTTGCTTCTTTCTCTATGGAGTAGTTCCCCCATTCATCTGGGTATGGGGAACCCTAGATTTGTATGCTAGGTCTGATTGTATGAACCCAAGTACAGAGTTTGTGAATTGATTATATTCGATTAAGGTTTGAATGATTGAATGACTTGAATCCTGATCAAATTCCTGTTGTTTCTGCTTTGACCTAGAATGAGAATATCTGCCTAGGTTGATAGTGTATCCTTAATCGAAGGTGGCGAATTGGTGACTTTAGTCGAGGAGCCAATTCGCTATTCTGTACCGAATTCAATTCGGTAGTGGAGGTTTGGTTCGCTAGGGCCTCAATCTGTTTACTCCGGTGGAGGTTAGTTGCCCGCTAGAGACTCAGATTGAGAGGGTCTGAAGACCTTTAGTCGAGACTTCGGACTAATCAAGAACCTTCCGCAGTATAACTTTCATGAAAACTGAACTTGGTAAATCGCAATCCGACTTAACTGCAGTCTAGGGGGAACCATATCCGGGTGACCTCTCTAGACTTGACAACAACCGTTTACTTGCTTTGTGTTTTTGTTTGCTTGAGTTGCACTAAAAGTTCACTGCTAAATAACGAGAATTCACCGAGTAGTCATCACATCTAGGACCCGGGTTGATAATAAAACCCAAACCCGCTATACTACGCTTTAGGAAGTGGTTACACTTGGCCATTTTTTAGAGTGACAGTAGGAGTGATTCATGCGACATCATGGATTTCCCAGGTCTATTGTCAGTGATCGCGACCCGGTTTTCTTGAGCAGGTTTTGGCAGGAGGTTTTCGCGATGGCACGGACCTTATTACGTATGAGCTCGGCCTACCATCCGCAGACCGATGGACAGACGGAGATAGTTAACAAGTATCTGGAGCAGTATCTGAGATGCTTTACCCACCAGCAGCCGCGACAGTGGCTGGCCATGCTTCCTTGGGCGGAATTGTGGTATAACACCACGTTTCATAGGTCTATTAAGATGACTCCGTTTGAGGCTTTGTACGGGAGATCACCCCCGACATTGGTACAGTACAGAGGCGGTTCGAGTTTGGTGGATGCAGTGGACAGGTGGTTGGGCGCGAGAGATGAAGCTCTGGAGCAGTTGAGAACTAATTTGGCTGCAGCGTCCAACAGGATGAAGCATGCCGAGGATGCAGGGCGGAGGGAAGAGGAGTTTGAGGTGGGTGACTGGGTACTGTTGAGGTTGCATCCCTACCGGCAGTCCTCGGTTTTCAGGCGGGCATACCAGAAGCTGGCAGCTAGGTACTTTGGGCCGTATGAGATCATCCACAAGGTCAACCCGGTTGCTTATCGACTACAGCTGCCTGCAGGTTCGCGCATACACCCGGTGTTCCACATTTCCTTGCTGAAGAAGTACCGGGGCCAGGCGGACAGGGTGACATCGACGGCTCCTCCGGTGACAGCAGATGGCGACTTGGAGCTCGTTCCTCTCAAGGTATTAGAGACCAGGTGGACAAAGAAGGGAGGGCGGTTGGTGGAAGAGAGTTTGGTGCAGTGGAAGCATGTGGAACCGGACGATGCTACTTGGGAGGAGTCAGAGGTGCTCCGCCAGAGATTTCCGGGCTTCGACGTCGAGGCCGATGTCGATTCTGAAGGAGGAGGGGATGTGGGAAACCCGACTTCGGGTTAGAGAGGGAGAGGGCCGGTCGGCCAAGGGGGAGGGAAGGAGTGGCAAACTTGTTATTTTGTGTTATTTCGGCTTACTGCTACTTAAGGATGCATTTCATTAGTTTTGGGAATTAAGCAATAATAATCAGAAATTCTCAAATCCCTAATCTCTATTCTCTCTCTTGTTCTTCCCCAATTCTCCAAATCCCTAAATTCTACTCTTCTCAATCCCTAATATCCCAATTGGGATTTCTTGTGTCCTACAGTCGAGAGCCAATTAACGAATTTGTGAAGCATTTTTAGGAGTGCATTATACCTATACTGGTATATTGGACTTTAGTGTTTTGGCTAACAAGATTAATCACAATGTAAGAAATAGATATACATAAAAGTGAATCAAAATAGTAAAAGTGATCCTTAGAGCAAGACCATTTTGGTCGACTAAATTTTACGTCATTTTGGGCTTCAGCACCAATCTTCATTTATGACTTCCACAAGTTGACCCTTGATGTTTCTTACTCGTACAAGGTGGTCCGCTAGGATAATTTGACCTGAAAACACATAGAATACTGCTAAGGGGGAAATAGTAAAAATAATCTTAGGATCTACGAAACACACCTTGGAGCATTTATCGAGCAATTTCAAACTAATATGACTATAAAAATATGATAAAGATGCAAAATATGCCATAAAATAGGCGTAAAATAATATAATTTATGTATCCTCAAACAACCTTTAATTTTCCTTCTCTTAATCTTTAACGGACGATTTCTCACTCGTTTTAAGTCGGAAATTAATTTTTTTTTGCACAGTTAGATCAGATTAATTGTGCTCTTCAAAATGATATCCACTTTGATATTTTTCAGACATAAAAAAATTTGTCAGTTATTACCAGTCTATACCATATGGTAATGACTGGTATTGACCATACCATATGGTATGAAAAAATTTGTCACATCAATATATATTACGTTACCACCCAATACCATATGGTATAGTGTGGTAATATCAATATATATTTCGTTACCACCCAATATCATATGGTATAGTGTGGTAATATCAACATATGGTAAATCTAACTACCATACAATGCCAACATAGTAGAACATGGTTAATCGAATGAACACAAATTAATTGTAATTACCATACAATACCACATGGTATGAGAAGTTAAAACCATATAAAAATAATATAAATCTAATTACAATCCTTTTACGACCATAGTAAAACACGATATCCATAAAAATACATTTCGTTACCACACTTTACCATATGGTATACATTTTACCATATGGTATAGACACTTTACCATATGGTATAGACACTTTACCATATGGTATATACACATTACCATATGATATAGACACATTACCATATGGTATATACAAATTACCATATGGTATAGTGTGGTATATACACATTACCATATGGTAATGTGTCAATACCATATGGTATCGACACATTACCATATGGTATAGTGTGGTAATCTCAATATATATTCTCAAAGAAGGGGAAACAGAAGGAGGAAGAGGAAAAAAAACTTGTCTTCTGTCTCCTGTCATTTACTCCTCCGCAATGAAGAACACCGAATGCAAAAAGAAAGAAAAAGAGGAAGAAGATCGGAATTAATTCACAAACAAATACTAAAACACAAAAGATGCAAACTCAACTCACCTAGATCTGTCCCCTCTTTGACAATATGGAGCATCATCGATTTTGAGGCCGATAAAAGAAAAAAACAGAAGGAAGGAGCAGCTTGAGAGTAGAAGGATTTGGAGCCTCACCGAATTTGAAGTGGGAGGCTGCAATTTATTTATCGATTGTTGGAGAAAAAAATGAAGAACAAGAGAAGAAATGAGATTTAGATCTGGAAAAAGAATTTTGGAAGAGAGAAAGGAAGAAAGAGAAAAGAGAGAGGAAGAGAAAAGTCTGCTTTTTCTCTTTCCTCCATTAAAAGACAACACATATAAATGTTGGAAAAAATAAAAGAAGGAAAGAAATCAAATTTCAAAAATCGGACAAAAATGCCCCTCCTCACTCCACGTGCAGCCCAACAATATAATAATGCCATCCCTAGATCTACGGTCCGGATTTAATACTGATAGGTCAGTAACCAATGGTTACTGACCCTATCTGCTGCCCCTATAATGATATCTTCGACATTAGTGCTATGGGCAGGGGCGGAGGGGAGAAAATTGGTAATTTAGATATAATAGTTATTTGATAATGAAATTTAGGTTGCATCCAATTCTGATATAATAGTTATTTGATAATGAAATTTAGGGTGCATCCAATTGAGAATGATTGTAAGATAGGTCTTATGTTTCAAAATTGGGGATCCAATTTGTTAAGCATATTATATTATGCAAACTTATATGTAACTTCAATTACATATAAGTTAACTTTCGTTTGGGGTGGTGTGCTAGTAAATACTATAAGATCTAGGAATGGTAATGGGTCAGGTCCGGGGCAGGTTTCTTGGTACCCAGACCCGCCCCGTGGCAGGTCGGGTCCAGGTCGGGTAATTGATCTCGGGTCGCGGGTCGGGGCAGGTCGACCCAATGGATATGCAATTTATATTAAAAACATTAGCAATATTCGTTATTTTTATTATAAGACTAAGAAAACAAACAATATTATGATAATTGTAGTTAAATTATTGGAGAAATTGAGGTTTTCACTAATTTACAACTTTCTTATAGCTAAAAATATGATGCAATAAAAGAAAAATCCTAAGTAATTCGACTAAAGATTACATGTAATTTAGACAAGAACGGGTCGAGAATGGGGCGGGTAAAGGCAGGTCGGGTCGATGAGACTATCAATGCCCGCCCCAAAACATGTCAAACAGATCGGGTAAAACGAGTCAGGTCGAAATTGCCATCCCTAATAAGATCCATTATTTAACCTCTCCCGGCAACTCGATTTAATGAAACTGAACGATTACCGACAAAGAACATCTAATAAAACAGGACCATCAAAAAATAAACAAGACGGGGCAGGTCTGACCCGCCCCAAAACAGGTCAAACAGGTCTGGTAAAACGAGTCATGTCGAAATAGCCATCCCTAATAAGATCCATTATTTAACGGAGAGCAACTCGATTTAATGAAACTCAACGACAAAGAACATCTAATGAAACAGGACCATCAAAAAATAAACAAATTGAAAGGTATGAAATAAAAAAAGAATCCAACCGGGGCCAACGGTGTATAGTTACTGTGTTACATAGGGTGAATCTCTACAATCACAACACTCAACTTATAGTTTACTTTTACGTCGCATGTGTAATTAAAGTATACATCGCAACCAACAAACCAATTCGCCAATACTCACGAAGAAAGAAATGAAAAGCACACATCACAGTTCTAGTTTTCGCATTCCCAGCCAGCCAACTCAGCTTTCAAATCCATTCTCATTCTCTACAGCTGGATAATTAACAAAGTTTATTTTGCTAAGATTCCTGCTGTCTTGTATGTTCCAAATCAAGGTTGATCAGAAGTGTCAGATCACTAATCGCGATGAATGCTTGCAGTTTCAGGCGTGCTTACAACAACTGGGATATCCAGGCTGCTTGTTTCAGTCTCAGGAGGGGGGATTTCTCTGACATCGGCTATCCTCGACTCGGTTGCCTGAATATCCAGGCTGCTTGTTTCAGTCTCAGGAGGGCGGATTTCTCTGACATCGGCTATCCTCGACTCAGTTGCCTGAATATCACTCCACTGGGTGTCTCCAATTGTCCGGAGGTTGGCCTGATGATCCACAGCCAGTACGTTCTCTCCAGACTCGCTTAGGCAAGCTTTGTCAACATTCTCATCTGTCAAGTCCATGTCCTTGGTTTGCGTGGGACTGCGGGACACAGGATCTGAAGACTCTGTCTTCTCCTCGAAAATTTGCTTTGTATCTATTTGCTGTCTGTTAAAAATACCCAGATATCACTCAATCTCAAAATGCAGGTATTAGTGTTAGAAAAGCTAAAAGACATACGAGATCCATTTTTCTAGAGTGCAGTTTCTAATAGTACTTATCTCCCAAGTATTTGGCATTCTATCAAAATGATGCAATGCCATACACTAGGGGGATAGAACTGCAATTTCAAATGTAATCAAACATATCACAAGTATGAACCAATATGTGTTCAATTACGTGTTATTGCAAGTATCTCTCCTAAACACACCCAACACACAGGTCGGTAGCCTTTAAAAAATATGGACAGCAAAGATAACACACCTTTGGAGTTTCTCCTGCAACATATTGACATAGGCTAGAAGCTCTTGCTTTTCCTGCAGAGCGGCTTGCTCCCTCAGAGCAGCCTCCCTTAATCTGACTTCAGCATCTGCTTCTGCAACCCTCACCTTCTCCTCCGCTCGTACAACAGCACCTTCTAATATCACTGCACGCTCTCTGGCTTTTGCAAGCTCGCTACGCCATAGATGCGCTTCCTCAAGAGCTGAGTCTCTTTGCTTCATCAATGTGTCCCTCTCTTTACTTAGGGCACCTAATTTCTCTTCGTACTCTTTCAGCTACCGATAACAAGCACCAAATAAAATTGCAAGTAGATCCAATGTAGATTTTCAGTATCAAATAATGGAAGTTGTCTAGAGACCAAGGTCTTTGTCTCATAATCACGTGAAGCATATATTAATTAGTAAAGAATCTTGTTATACCTTCAACTTGGATGATTCAAACTGCACTTGTGAAGCTTTTGAGATGCGCTCAACCTCAGCAAAGACCACTCTTCTTTGTTCATCCATTGTATGTGCTGCAGATGCTGCAGCCTCTGCAGCTTCAGCTGTCTCGTTTAGCTTTTCAGCAATGTCCCTGATTGTTGAATCACGAGCACGAATGTCTCTTGCCAGATTCTGCAGTTCTTCATCCTTGACTCTTAGCGTCTCCTGAATAGATGCAAAAGAAACAGTTTATCTGAAAACAGGGCACACACACTGCCTAACAAGTAAACTAAGTAAAACTGGAGTCACCGTGATGTTGTGATCTGGTATGCGCATGATGTTTTTTTTTATAAGGGTAATATATGTTTACATTTTGTGGTTAAGTACTAGTGAAGGGATCCGAACCCCTCCAGGTTCAAGGCTAATGGTATTACCACCAGAACAAGCCCTTACTTGTTCATGTTTTGCGCATGCTGTTTAAACACCAGTACATTGTGGTTAAGAACTCATGCTGTGACATACTTCTCTTATTAGTCAACATGACTAGACGTGTAAGAAATGCTAGATTCCAAGTCCTCCTTTAGATGAGCGTGCAATTGAATGCGCACTATGGGGTTCCATTTTTATCTTAAAGTAGTCTTTAGATGCCAAACATAAATGTAAATGAATACTATGTAGGAAATAAGGCTAGAACTGGGTATGTGAAAGATACTAAATCAGTTTTTGACAAGGAAGAGCAGTTACTAGTACCCATTATAAATCAAGAAATCCACTCTTTAACTGGACCAACTTGCCATCTCAAGAATAGAATCACAGGTCAAGAAGGTGCAAGTAGCTTTCAAGAAATAGTACACTATCCGATACTATACCATATTTCCGGTTTGTTTAGCCACGAGCTTCTGTCAACTGAGCTTTCGGATGGCAGGTTTAAGAATCTTAAAGCAAGGTTTCAATTTAGGGTTGTGCAGTAATCTGCCCAAACAATTGCACACTGGAGTTGCATTATTAATAAGAGTGCCGACTTTCAGAAAAGCATCTAAAGAAACAAACAATTAACCATTTTCTCGCTACAAATTTCATAATCACGAAATACAAGCTTAGTATAACAAAAACCCGGAGTTCAACTTGATCCATGGCATACTACACCCATCAAGCCAAATACTCATTTTATCCAACATTCACCTATGCAGAGAGTATGAAATAACAGTTCCCTATGTGCATACCAACAACACCGTATAGGTGTCAAAGATAACACAGATGAACCATCAAGCAAGACTGCTCATATCGTACCTTCATAATAGCAAGGTCATCCATTGGATCATCAGGTGGTGTATTGGTGACGATTCCAAGAGCGTTTTTCAACGAGATCTGCATTGCTGCTTCAATCTCTCTTGAGCATTCTAGCGCTGTTGAATTTGCAGCAGCCACTACTGTTGCAACAGTACCTAATTTTGCGGATCCATTCCCACTCAAGGAATTTACAGCTTCTTTATGGGCTTTGAGGACCAATTGAGATGCCCTGAGCAATGGCAGTCAATGGCAAACACATTTAAGTAAAAAAGAAACACCGAAATATTTTTATAGAAAAAATATTCTTTGCAAATTTGATATTGATAAATCCAATAAACACAAGATCCATTCAACCACTATATTGATAAACTCAAAGCAGCTACCCAAGATCGAAAATTGTTTCTCTTTCATGCATCAAGTCTATCATTAACAAAATAAAGCCCCGGTCAGTTATATTTGGGACAACAGCTGAAACATCTAGCCTGCTTCTGGTATTTAAAATGATAGCTTCGGATTTATAAAATCTATTGCCTCAAAAAAAAAAATTCCCTGGGGAAGGTTGCCTAATATTCCAAAAACAAAGCGTGGGACCAACTTCAATTTCCTTTCTCTTGACTTTCAGGCCTTCAAATGTTTGCTTCATTACCACTATGATCTCCAAATGTTAAGCGCAGTTGAAACTTGAAATAAGATGATTACCAATGAGGTATTGACAAGTGAAAATCGCAATTTATATGACAACCTAGAGCCAGAGAACTGTTTAAATGCGGAAACCATGTGCCACTGTGACTCTGAGCATGCATGGGGAGGAAACTACAGCATAACAGCATTAACTTCCAGAGTGCAAAATTTACTGACAAATCTTTCAGAAGTCATATTGCAAAAATGCTTACTGTAAAGTTGTTACCCAAGCTCTAGCTGCACCAGGAGTCTCTGCACAAAGGAAATAGTCCTTTCTCTGTGGCGTGCCAATATCTAGGTTTTGATAAGGAAGAAACTGTAGAAAATTCCATTCAACTAGATACAGAAACTTTCTAGCCTAAAAAGATTTGCAAATGATGAATATTTGTAATACCAAGGATACAGAAACAGCAGCCATCGTATTTTGGAAGGCCACTGAAAGACACAGAATGTATATTGTTATTAATCAATGACATGATAATAATCTGGAATATCAGAAGAGAGAAACCCATTAAAAAAGAGCAATCTTACTGGAAGTTAACCGGGGAAATGGTAATTGTGCTATTGGCATCGAAGACAATAGATCCCTTCATAGTTGCATCACTTCTCTTGGTCCTAAGGCAAGGAAATACAGTTTAATTGAAGATCAACAAACAGCAGGGAGGAGGTAAAGAAATATGCAGGAAAGATTACTCACTTGTATTCCATTTTCCCAGTAGTTGGATCCAAAGTCACCCACCGCTCATTCCATTTTCTCAGCTAAGGAAAGCAATAGTCCAGAAAAAAAAGGAAGCAGACATAAGTTGTTACAGAGTCCGGGAATCAAGAGATAGCTGAGTTGTACATAAGAGCAACTCCGAAACCCTTAAGTTGCAGAGAATGTGCATGTAAAGCATATACACAGCACAGGAACAAGTATGAAAATATACAGGCGCACATCTACACAATGCCTGTGACAAATATACACATTATGGGGAGAACCAAACTATCCATACACAGTATTTTTTATGCCATAGAAAAACTTCTATCAAGCTCTACCTTTGAGATGGGCCTAGATGTTACTGAGGCAATGGGAGAAAGGAAGAGAGAATCAATCCGATCAGAGGTTGAACTTTCTGAACCAGAAATTGCTAACAAATCAAATTGAACAATATCAGACACAAAATGGGAACAAGCAAGCATTGGGAATTTTAAGCTGGGCTACACAATAAAAATTAAAATCTCTTCGCAAACAAATTCTAATGACACCGGAGCTAAAAGAAGGGAGCTGCAGTCAGACTGAAACAAAAGGAGACGAGAGAATGAGATTACAGTCTCAGATCGCTTAAGGAGAGGGCCTTGCAGCAAGTTCCGGCCCGAACCAGACGCGAGCTGCCGCTTTATCTTCTCCAAACTGTTCTCCTGCTCCACTGCCCTATGCTGCTGCCATGTTTTGTCACAATTACAGCATCCGTCAAGAACAATCAACAGACTTAACTCAATTCCGACACACCAATAACCCTACTCTTAGTCGGAGTCACCGACTTCGATACAACCGAACGAAAAATCAATCCACCATGTACATAGGAAAGATCAAATTCCAAAAGAAGAAGTGCTGATACTAAATATGAGGAGATCAGGTTGGACTAACCGGAGAAGCGCCATTGGAGGCCATGGAAAGGTGTGTAGAAGTAGCAGCAGCGCCTGCACTAAATCGAAGCAGAAGACAGAAATGGCGATTAAGCCTCAAGGGAAAGTCTCGTCCGTTCTCGCAGTTATGTTTTGTTATACGAACTTGGAAAACATCTCCAACGAAAATTAATTAAAACGCAACAGTTACGGAACTCCTCCGTTGATGAAAAGTATTATGATTATTATTATTTTTATGAACTTACTATTTTGATTGTTAACTTTTGTAGTAGCACTCTCCATCTGCTCAAGATAGGGCACCTATCAATAACCAAATCTGGATCATTTATTTAGAAAATCCAGATCTAAGGATGGAGAATTAAAGACTATTTTTATTTTCACTAGTTTTCTTAATTGACTCATATTTTTTTCGTTTTAACTCGGATTTTAATTTTTTTTGCACAGATGGAACGAGTTCACCGTACTCTACAAAATGAGATCAATTTTCAATATTTATTTAGGAAAAAAAAAATTCTGGCCTCTCGGTACCAACTGCATACCATATGGTATCTTCTTCGTTTTTAATTCGTTTTTGAAAACGTTTGCACAGCAGGGATGAGTTCATCATGATCTACTGGATCTACAAATTTCTGGGTGAACAAATTACAGGACCAAAAAATACCACACAATACCGTATAATACCACCCTGGTACGGGGTGGTATTGTATGGTATCTTTTTCGTTTTTAATTCGTTTTTGAAAACGTTTGCACAGAAGGGACGAGTTCATCATGATCTATTGGATCTACAAATTTCTGAGTGAACAAATTACAGGACCAAAAAATACCACACAATACCATACAATACCACCCTGGTACGGGGTGGTATTGTGTGGTATACAATGTTAAAAGTCGTAAATTACAATTAATATACTTCTACTATCATGTATTCAACCATCCTACAGTATTGGTTTGTTCATACCATCATGGTACATTTTTTAAAACATAGGTATGCTTTTATTTCAATACCATATGGTATATGCTGGTAAAAAATGGCTCAATTTTTTTTGTTCGAAAAATATATTAAAGTGGATATCATTTTGAAGAGCACAATTAATCTGATCTAACTATGCAAAAAAAATTAAATTTTGACTTAAAATGAGCGAGAAATCGTCCGTCAAAGATTAAAAAGGGAAAAATTAAAGGCTTTCCATGAGAGAGAGGATGCTGATATCATGCTGATGTGGACGGGTTACTCATGGTTACTCACCATAAGGTTACTGACCTGATCCATTCCTCTCTCCATCGGTTCTGTTTAATTATAGGGTTAATATTTTCGTATGGCCTGAACTTTGACCAAAATAAACATCCTGGCCAATATTTTCGATCTATAATATCATGGCCCGAACTATACACCAAAATAATCATATAGTCGGTTTTTATTAACCGGATAACTGTTAAGCAAGTGATTTGGCATGGTTGTACCAAAATAACCGATCAGTAACATAACCAAGACCATCTCCAATAAAGGAGTGTCAAAGTGATAGAATGCTAGATGAATTTGGCACTTTAGTTGTCAAAAAGTGGGTTTTGCTCCAATAATATAGTTTAGTGTAGATTTTATCATTTTAATTATAATTTGTATATTATTTTTATGTATGTAGTAATAATGAATTAAGAAAAATATTTTGATGTAATTTTTAATCTGGAATAATTTTTTTCCGTTAAATATGATCTCATCAATTGCATTGAACTGATCCAACCCCTAAATGGTTCAGGGTTCACGTGGTGGAAAAAGCCTATAGTCATCCAATTTTTTTTTTTTTTTTACAAAAGATATCATATATTGATAAAACAAAAAGATCATTACATCCTGGATCGAAGCCAGGCCACAAAATCAAACGAGCGACACATCGTCGGGTACAAAGAAAGGGCCTTTCGAGCCACCAAATGGGCTACCCTATTACTACACCGACCAATAAATCGCACCCTAAACCCCGGGTCAACCGACAAACTACTTGCAACCTCACAAAAAATAGCCCCCGCTCGACTATCACCCTTCCTAGCAGAGTTAAGCTTGTCCACAACCACCTTAGCATCCCCCTCAAAGCAGACATTCAAGATACCCATCCCTTTGCACCACAGGATAACCTCCCTCAAGGTCAAAAGCTCAGCCAGCAGAGGTCATCCATATCCGGGAACTGAACAGCCGAAACATTCAGCACCACTCCATCGTGACCCAAGAGAACAAACCCACCAGCCGCATGAGAACCCTGCCTGGTCGCGCCATCCCAACGACACACCAAAGACCCAGGAGGTAGGGGAGGCACTCCCATATTCCCAGCGGGCGGCTTCGGCGCAACCTCATCCCGCGGGAGAGCAATCCACTCATGAACCTGCTGGCGATATTGTCGCACCAGAGCCGCAAACCCAAACTGCTTGCCTTCAAAGACAACCCAATTTCTAGATTTCCGTATCCGCCAAAGGACCGCCACCAGCTCCATAACCTGCTGAGGACTCTAGATGATGTCCAACAACTTCCTCAGGAACATTGGGAATGTATGTCGAGGGATACCCTGCCCAAGATGTTCCATCCCAGCAAGATCCCACAAAGCTCTCTCAACCGGGCACTCCAGAAAAAGATGCTAGGATGATTGACAGGTTATTAATGAAATTTGGTTGGAGAAGTTTAGGGTGAATTCGGCTTGTACAACACTTCGGGGGTATCGGGCTCAAGATAGGGTGCATGACCATGTGTTATGCATTCATCAATAACCAAATTTAGACCCTTTATTTAGAAAATCCAGATCTAATAATGGAGAATTAAAGACCATTTTTATTGTCCCTAACTTTCTTAATCGGCTCATATCTTTTTCGTTTTAACTCGAATTTTAATTTTTTTTGCACAGGTGGAACGAGTTCATCATGCTCTACAAAATGAGATCAATTTTCAATATTTTCTTAGAACAAAAAATTCTGGCCTCTCGGCACCAACTGCATACCATATGGTATTTTCTTCATTTTTAATTCGTTTTTGAAAACGTTTGCACAGAAGGGACGAGTTCATCGTGATCTATTGGATCTATAAATTTCTAAGTGAACAAATTACAGGACCAAAAAATACCACACAATACCATACAATACCACCCTGGTACGGGGTGGTATCTTATGGTACACAATGTTAAAAGTCGTAAATGACAGTTAATATATTTCTACTATCATGTATTCAACCATCCTACAGTCTTGGTTTGTTCATACCATCATGGTACGCTTTTCAAACCATAGGTATGCTCTTATTTCAATACCAGTAAATACCATATGGTATAGACTGGTAAAAAAATGACTCAATTTTTTTTTTGAAAAATATATCAAAGTGGATATCATTTTGAAGAGCACAATTAATATGATCTAACTGTGTAAAAAAGATTAAATTTCGACTTAAAACGAGTGAGAAATCGTCCGTCAAAGATTTAGGAGGGGAAATTAAAGGGTTTCCAGGAGAGAGATGCTGATGTGGACGGGTTATTCATGGTTCCGTTCTCGGGGTATCAGACTTGATTCTTCCCAATCAGTGGATTCCTTACCCAAATCGTTCAAATAAATCAGATTGTGGAAGCAACATTCATCGTAATATCTATTATTTTTTAAGGCTAGAGCCTAGAAGACCCAGATTAAGGGGTACCCACATTATATTTACTTTGGAAAATTGAGATAGGTAAAGGCAGGGTTGAGCAAAGCTTAACGGGCAGGAATATGCGGACATTTCTGAAAGAGTAAAACTGGTGGAAAAAGAATTGGAGCTAGTACATCTTACAATCCTCTCTGTCTCATATCCCACACCTTAGTTTATTAAAGAAGAGAAAAGGTTGGGGCTAGAGTGTTTTGAAGAACGGAGAGAAAGACATATCTTTATTGTAAGTATAAATAAAAACTAAATCCGAACCCACGGGTATTCTATTCGATCCAATCCGGTTAAGACGGGTAAAACCTGCGTTGACGAGTTATGGGTCGGGTTTGGGTTTAAATCCGTTCACTATTTACCAGGTTGGGTTGGGTTTGAGTTTAGGTAACCCAGTCCCATGGATACCCGCCCACACTGATATAATTAATTTTTCCGGTATATTTAATATTCTAAACAACTAATCTTCTTTATGTTTGCGGAGACATGTTTATTTTTTTCATTCTAATTGTCTAGAATCAAGTTGACATTATCGAGTGGAGAGTAGTGAAGAAGGTTAATTGACAAGGAGGAAGAAGTTTTCAATTAATCATGTTGTTTATGGATAATTTGTGATTTGCTTCAATTTTCTTGAGTTTTCTAGATTGGTGTTAAACAATTTGTATGGTTAATTTGCGATTTGCTTGAATTTTCTAGAATGGTGTTATATATATATGGATTATTTGTATTGAGAGATTGATATATGACTTTTATTTTGATAGGAACTTGTTATTGTAAATTTTTTACAACAAAAACTCATGGGTACCCATGAACCCGCGGATACCCGGTGGGTTTGAGTTTTTCAAACCCAGTGAGGTTTTACCCCGGATTTTTTTCACTGATAAACCGATGGGTTTGGGATTGGCAAAACCCGACTCATTGTCATCCCTAATTTTAACCCTTCCCTTTTTCATAAATCAGTTCAAATTCGGAGCCAAAACAATATATCACTCGATTGATTGACTCATATGAAAATTTAGTCACATATGTGAAGGTCAATGGAGAAGTGGATGTGGAGTTTTAAAAGAATCATATTAGCACAATGGATAGTGAAATGGTACAGAAACCTGGGAACTACTACGATACCTTGATTCAACACAATGTAGATTCGGGGATTGTGCGGTTTTAATGAAGGGTATACCAAGGATGGTGATAAGACTGACAATGCAGTTAAAATCGTGATTTTACTTAAAATTTAAAACCGAGGTAAAATTGAAATCGGAAATTAAAATTGTAAGATTTTAAGATTCATATTAAAATAAACACTTAAAACACAAGATAGTAATACAAATGAATATTCTGAATAACAGTGAACCACATATAACTTAATTACTTCCCAATATAATTTTGTCTGTAAAATAAACACAAATAAATCAATAGATTTGTTCTTGTACATAACATAAACACACAAATAAGCAACCTGAAATCTCATAGAAATCATGTAATCTAGTTAGCAGGCAGGAGTAGAAAATCACATAAGATCGTTAAGATCAACATTAACATGCCTCACACATCATCATCTTCGCCCTCACTCTCACTCTCATGCTCATAGAATCCTTGTCTATTTGCTTGAACAATGGTATCATTATTTTCAGTGTCACTTGAACTACTTCATCATTAACCAAATTTCCATGATCACAATCATCTAAAGGTTTGGAGATGAACAAAAGTTTGTAACGGAATGAGGATTGGGCTAATTGCGAGGGTGGAGGGAAACAAACTATGAGCTAATTTTGAGTGTGGAGTAAATCGTTGATACAAGGAATTGGGTGTTGACGTGCCGCAGAGGAAGATATGAGGAACATAATTAACAAAAATCAATTGAGGTTTTCTCGTGGGTTAGGGTTGTGTTGTTCATGATGTTAAGTCGAGGAAAGTGAACTTGACCCGGTTCATGGACTAAACCCAACATGACCAGGCTGATTTCGTTCCAGTTGACATGAGATTTTATGGTTCAAAGATTTTGTAGTAAAATCAGGATCGGAACTCATAGGTATGATCATAAAATCGTAAGATTAAAATCGGAATTTTGACTATATTAAAAACAAGTATTCAAAGATATGGGGAGAGATAAGGCACATAGCCCTGATGGGTCCCCTGTGGATTCTTCCTTGATCATTGGGATATTGTAGGTAAGGACATTGAAGAGGTAATCTATAAATTCTTGTATATTAGTTTTATGCCTTAGATAGTGAATTTAACTATTTTCACTTAGATTGCTAAGTTGCCTTGTTCAGAAAGAATGAAAGACCTATGTCCTATCTCATGTTGTAATGTCTTGTGTAAGGGAATTTCCATACTTTTAGCCAATAAACTTGCTCTTGCTCTTCCAAAGCCATTAGTAGATCTCAAAATGCTTTTATGAAGGGGAGATCCATTAGTGATAACATATTTTGATTTCAGAACTAGTTAGAGATTACCGCAAAGCCCCAATAATTCCTAGGTGTGTGATTAAAATAGATATAATGAAGGCTTTTGACTCTGTAATTTGGGAATTCTTAGTTATTGTCTTGTCTGCTCTGATGTTTTCAGAAGGTTTTGTTGTATTGATCGATGCTTACAAAAATCAATTTTTATGAAGTTTAATTATCAACCAGGGTGGCAAATGTACTATTTCTTCACACAAATCAGATTTTGTGAAGTTACCCAACATATACACGTTCTCACTCTAGTCTCCTCAAAAAATCTGACTTCTGCTCCTTTATATAGCCATAATGTGCAAATTTCACGGTTACCCGTCACGATCATGAGGTTTGCAGCCAAACCGTGAGGTCGACTGAGTTCACACCGTTTCACTTACAATCTCCACGGTGCTGTGCGATTCTCGCGGTCTGCGGCCGAGAGATTTGCAAGCTCCCACGATATGAAAGGGCCTTTATGTAAGTATGCAAAGTTCGCAATTTTAGTGTGGATATCATGATTGGCAAACCGTGATATTTGCACATGCCCGCGAGATATCTCTATCCTCATGGAACTTGTGGAATCCTTACGGTTTTGATGTGGATGTCACGGCCTGGCCGTGAGAATCTGCTTTAGACCGTGAGCTTTGACACTTTCCTCCATTCTATCATGTTTTGTCTCCCTCTTGTCCGAATTTTGTTCCTTTAGTCAATTTTTCCTGCTAGAATCTGGGTGGTTCGGACCATTCACGATCACTGAGGTGTTCCCCTATGGCACCATTGAAGTAGCCAATCCGGAGACCGAGCCCTTCAAGGTGAATGAGCACCACCTCAAGTTGTACTTTGGAAGGAGATGTTGAACAAGTGGAGTTGGTGGTTTATCCCGCGGACACCTAGTTCCACCATCTGCATCCAGCTAAAAGAAGGTAAAGAAGCGTTTGTGGGGAGGAAACCCCACCATGGTTTGCATTTCTTTCCCTTTCTTCCATTTTGTGTGTTTTGGAGTCGTTTGTGTCCTTTTTGAGTCATGTGTGTCGCGTCCCAAGCCTGTCGATTGTCTGTGTTGTCGCCATTTCCGTCCGTAGTTGGCTCGGGGTCATTTCAGTGGTATTTTCTAAGTGTGGAGAAATCCACGCTCTCGGGAGTTATATTCCCCGGTCGTGGATTTTGCTATCCAGACCGGGGAATCTTCCTGCCAGAAATTCATGGTCTAAACATCGATTCTCCGATCGTGGATTTAAGGTGGGGGAGACCAGGGATATGTTGCAAATTCCACGGTCCAAGTGACAAATCCACGATCGTGGATTTTGGTTCCAGAGCGTGGAATTCGGCTATATATAAGGAAAATATGAGCTGCCCCCTCATTTTTCCACGGTTTGCAAAAATTGCTCTCCCCTCTCTGAAAATTGTCGAACTCAGCATTCCTCCACCAAATCGTAGATCCCATCTCCATCCGGCCTCAGATTTCCAATCCGACTTCGAACCCACTCCTCCCTCGTTGGGGTGACCCTGCTATGAAATTTTGGGGACGATCAGAGCCGGAAAATTTTTCAGCGCTTTCTCAAGTGACTTCGCTGGTGAATTTCCGGCGAGCCTCCCCAGCCTGTTTTCACTGCTTTTCGCAATCCCGCACTCCTTTTTGTCCTCTACTTGTGTCTCCATGTTGGTTTCTACCTTTTTTACTTGGTTATTTTCAGAGAATTGACAGTTAGATAGAGAGAACGGGGTTGTGCGATGCATGATGGTGTGTTTAAGAATCGATTGCCTTGGTTAGTGTGCTAGATTCTTGTGAACTATGTGTTGGCCTCGACTACTTGGATTTTTTGCTCAACTCTGTTTGCATTCTTGTTGCAATTGCATGATAAATCTAGCAGTTCTGCAACCGGTCATAATGCCACGTTTTGTGTACTCGCGCATGGGAGAATCTCTCTTCCTCCTCTATCTATTTGCTTAACGTGGTTTGCGTGGTTCCACCTATTCCATTTTTATTTTACAGGATCATGTCGCTTCCCCACGCCTATCTGCAGAGTCTGTGTCATACCCATGACTATGATGCGCAGTTTGGTGTTTTAAGAGAGGGGACCATCGAGGTACATTGGTACATCAACAAAGCCGTCCTCAAAGACCTTTATTGTGCGCGAAATATCTGACACGTCATTGCCAACCGCCAACAGAGGTGGGTTCTCCGCCTATCTGCTGCTACCTATACCAAGCTGGTGTGGAAATTCTACTCCACCTTCCGCATGGCGGCGGATCGCCCCCACCTAGGTCGGCTGATGGCCTCATGTTCCGCCTCGGGGTGTGGACTAGAAGATCAGTGTTGAGTAGCTCAGAGAGGCACTCGGCATGAGCTTCTGGCCTCTCCACTACCATGTTTTCGAGCAACCCAGACCCTAGGGCGTCGACCTCCCCCGATTCTACACCACCATCTGCCGACCAGCGTACCGCGAGGTATCGTTCAAGCTTGGGCAGACCAGCACCACCACTCTCCATCCACAATGGAGGATCATTCATCTCATTCTCACCTGCTTGGTCTGCCCTAGTGTCACATCCTCGCACAAGATCACTAAGCGGGTGCTCTACTTCATGTACTCAATTACAAGGGAGGAGGATAACCTACACTTAGGTTCGGTGGTGGCAGTGACGGACCCAGGATTTTTAGATAGGAGTTTCGACCAATACAAATAATTTTAAAATAAAAATTAAATAATTAAACTTAAATATCATTATATATTTTTTATTCATAAATTTCACCAATTTCATTGTGTTTATAGTGAGTCATGATGAATTTTCATATTCTGAAGATTTCTTAATTACATTTTTCCATTAGGTTGCAAATCAAATATTTTTTATGTAGAAAACTAAACAATTATTCATAAATTGGTCACTTAACTGATACCAAATATCATTATAGATTAAGCTCATATATGAAAACTGTCATTTTGTAGCTTGCAATTGGAAGAGGTAAAGTCAACACTCATTTAAGATGGGAAAACTAGGATGGGAAGCTGAAAAGTGGTCACAGGCATCAACGTGGAAGTTTCAGTGAGAATCGGAATTTCACTAGCACGACACCGACAATTGGAGGGTGGCGATAAGCGTCAAACATGAAAAGCAATAACTAAACTAGAAAGCAAATTGGAAATTAACTTTACGAAGAAAATAAGTATGGAAGAAGCTACGGGGAAAACGACATGGAATTCAATATATAATTACTTAACCCAACCAGCTTATTAATCAAATCAATTTATCGAGGTTATCTCTAAGGTGACAGCTATCTGTCTTTATACTCACTACGTACTAAGTAGTCATTTAATTGTTTACTTTTTTTTATAATAAACTAATTAACTACCTAGTCTAAAATACGATAACTCCTATATTTTCATATTTTATTAACATTATGACAAAAAAAAATTTTAATGTAACAAGGTGTGTCGGAGGTCCCATGTTCGAATTTTTTGTACCGAAAAAATGTGGGTTCCTCACAAAAATTCCGAGCCAAGGTGTGTCGGATGACACACCTTCCTCTAAGGTAGGTCCGTCCCTGGGTGGTGGTGAAGACTTTAGACAAGTCAGCAAAGTATCATCGACATCTATTCTGTAGCGCTCTCATCACCATTATGGTGCAGCATCTAGCGGCCAGCCTTCAGAATCTCACAGACATCTATCCCGCCGTCGGTTCCTTCTACTTCACGAGGGATGTCATCTTCAACCAGGGGATGTTAAAGTAGGCTTATGGATATGAGTGAGTTGAGGGTCTCTCGCTTCCTCCTACTGAGGGTGAAAAGAAGGATGTTGATGATGTTGATGAGTCCTCAGAGGACGAGTATGTCCTCGAGGAGTCCCTTTCCCCACTAGAGGATCTGCCTCCACGACGGAGATTGGAGCGAGGCGAGTCCTCCACCGGTCCTTCTGTTCTGTCCCATACCTACTTCGACACTCAGTTATAGCAAATAGGTCTCAAGAACCATCAGCTCGTAGACCATCGGCTTTAGTTCCAGCAGCAGTACGCGGCCTCTCAGGCGGAGTACGCAACCCACATGACTACTTATGACGAGCGCCTAGAGTGCATCGAGACTTAGTAGGGTGTCACCCTAGCTCATATTGAGCGTGAGCACGGTCGGAGATGCCGGATGTAGGAGGTTCAACAGTACTTGCTTCAGCAGGTCCTAGATGACCCTCCCACATGGCAGACTCCATGGGATGCCTCACCACTGCCACCGACACCACCTCTGCAAGATGAAGACTTCATGTAGGACATCAACTTCGACATTGATGATGACGCCAACGAGTAGGTTGTACTCGCTGGCTGGTTTCGTGTCTTTTTGTTTTTGTGTTTTTGATCCATGTGTGCGAGGAGCGTGAATGGAGTCATTGTGTATTGGTTGATTGTGTAGTATGAAACCTAGGGAGGTAGTGTAGCACTATGGAGGATGTTGATACATTAAGGAGTCTCTTTTCTTCTTCATATTGTATTGGTTGATTATGAGAATTAGTGATCTTAGGACACTTGAAAAGTTGAGCACCTAAAAATTTGAGTCCATGATTTTTCTGTTTTTGAGAGTCTCTTTATCCACGGAACCTTTGTCCTAAGACCATTACTTTGCATGATCCCGATTCGGGACTAGAATTATCGCCGAAGAAGCTACGAGGTGTCTTATGCATTGATTGACCTTGTAAGCTGCTAAATGACTTAGGACGTCCTCTGCTGACAGACGGGGTTACATGTTATGTAAAGGACTAGAGAGTTGCATTGGTTTGAGTCAGGTTTGTTTGGGGACAAGCAAACGGTGAAGTGTGGGGGAATTTGATAACACCGTATTTACACATGTTTTCCCAAAAATTCTTGACCGTTTGGCTTAGCCTTTGATTGCTTTTTTGCTCATTTTATGCTAGGTAGTGCTCATTGATTATGTTTTAGGTCCTAGCACGTAAATGGAGGTTGAGGAGCAAGTCTGGGCCTAAATGGACAGCAAACGGGAACTAGAGGGAAGCAGCAAAATGCACAGTTTGGAGCCTCGATTCCACGACCGTGGATTCCATGTTTCAACTGTGGTTCATGTCTAGGGACATTCCCCGGTTGGTGTCTCAATTCCACGACCGGGGATTTCATGTAGCCAACCATGCACTCTGGTTGTGAGCCACTAATCGCCATTCAGCGTTTTGTAAATCCACGGTCTGAACACCAAATCCACGACAGTAGATTCTTACTGGGGATTGCAGCGTCGGGTCTTCTATGCTGCAGTTGGAGGGAGTTAGTTCATGATTCCAGTTTTTCAAGTTCTAAAGAGAGGAAGAACCCTAGAGAGAGAAAGTGACGAAGAACAACTTTGGGAGCAGATTGGAGCGATCTAAGGACATTGGAGCTTGATCTTTCACCCTTGGAGTGTCGATTTCCAGCTTGGATAAGATTTTGATTTCTCTCCCAACGATTTCTCTTCCAAGCTTGTTTTTTCCTTTCTCTCCATGGATTAAACTCCCTTTTCATCTAGGTATGAAGAATTCTAGTCTTGTATGTTAGGAATGCTGGTATGAACCTCATTTGTGAATGATTGGTTTCATATATTCAATTGAGGCATTAATAAGAATTGCATGAACCCTGATCAAACTTTTGTGATTCCTACTTTAACCTAGAATGATAGTCTCTACTATGTTATTAGAGCAACCTTAATTGGAAGTAGTGAATCGACTGCTTTAGTCGAGAGGTCGATTCACTACTCTGTACTGGAATTAAAACCAGTAGAGGAAATTTGGTGTGTTATTTCCTTGGGTAGTTTATGCCGGTGGAGGTTAGCCGCCCGCCGGGTATTCGAATTGAGAGGGTCTGGTTTACTTTACTCGAGATTCCAGATTTGTCAAGAACTTTTCACAGTGTATCTATCAATCGGAACAAATTGGGAACATATAATATGAACTAGCTGAATACTAGGGAGACTCATATCTGGATGACCTTTTGCATACTTGACACCAGATCATTTCCTGCTTTTTGTTAGTTTTTTATTTTGAGAATCTTCACTCGAAATGAAAGCTAAATAATAAAAATTTATGGAGTACACAGTATACCTAGGCAATTCAAAATACAACTAGAATAACAACATACAAATATGGGCATGACAACACTATGCATTGCCCTTACCCCTACCTCTACCCCTACGGGGGTCTCTCTACCTGGATCGTTGGCGACCACCAAGAGTCGCCACAAATCTTGTCCAACCCGGAGACTAGTTCCCCACTCCGCCACAATGGGCTGTGCTAGCCCCTGCCACTGTGGATGGAGAGGAGGCATGGGAAAATGATCGTGGTTGAAGTACAATCGAATGTGGTGGTTTTTCACATAGTGTACTGTTAAGAACATGGTTGGTGGTGCCAAACCATACTCCGCATCAATAGGCAACACAGTGTAGGAATCAGTGTAGATGTTGGGTACTGGAGTGTCTTGATTACGGACATCGAAAGACTGGTAAGAGAAGACAATGACTGCAATGTGTAGATGGTTGCAAACACGTACAAGTCCTCAAACCAGTTGATGTGTTGAATGTGACGTGTTGTACCACCATTATACAAGTTGTCATACTTCTAGTAATGTCGTTGGATTTCTTGGATAATCTTCAATCTCATGAGTAGATATTGACTATCATCCCCCATTGTACAATGAGAAAGTTCCCTAAAACTACAATTGTCGTTTGGACTAGGGTTGAAATCGCCTACGAACAAAGGCCGAACAAACTCTGGATAAAGTTGCTCGATGAGAGGGTAATAATATTGCCCGGGGGGCTATGCGATGAGTAATCTACAATATTAAAACAAACGACCATTAATACATGGACAATATTATAAACCTGTTACTAATAGTTGGACAAAAAATTCACTAATATTAAAACATTTAAGGTTGAAAATCACCTGTGTAGTACTCGTCGGATTCGCTTCCACTCGATCGGGATCTGCCTCCACTCGATCGGGACCCGCCTCCACTCGATTAGGACCAGCCTCTAGTCAAATCGGGCCCATGTGTCGTCTGAAAATGACACCCACAACTGTCCACCAACTGCGCTGCCCCATATAACATGAGTTTGATTGCCTCACAATTGAAGATCCTCTAGCAGATACAAGGAAATTCTTGAAGGAAGAGTTAGATGACTCAACTCTATTTGAGCTCGTGTTACCAAATGGAACACATGGTTCGTGTAGCACTTTGCCCACATTATTTGATAAGGTAACCACTCACCCCGCACGTAGTCGACCAGTGCTATGTTCTTCACCGACTAGACCCTCTCA